TCGGTGAGATGGCCACATGGCTTCCTCTCCCCGGTGCCATCCCACAATTCTGCGCTCGTTATGTCGACGATGCCATGGGTTTTGCTGTTGGCTGGAACAACTGGTACTCCTGCGCCATCACTCTCTGCGCTGAAATCTCTGCGGCATCGAGCGTCATTCAGTTCTGGCCCGGCGCCCGAGACGTCAACGTAGCAGCATGGATCTCGATCGTTGTGGTGCTAGTCCTGGTCCTCAACATTTTCGCCGTCGCCATTTATGGTGAAGCCGAATTCATTTTCGCATCCATCAAGATTGTCACCATTGTCGGCCTGCTCATTCTCGCCCTCATCATTGATGTGGGTGGCGTCCCAGGGCAACACCGTCTCGGCTTCCAGTACTGGAACAACCCCGGTGCTATGAAAGCATACATAGCTTCTGGCAGTACTGGTCGTTTCCTCGGTCTCTGGTCCACTTTGGTCAACGCCGCTTTCTCTTATGGTGGTGTCGAAATGGTGGCCGTCGCTGCCGGTGAGGCTGAGGATCCACGACGAAACATTCCCAAGGCGGTGCGCCGAGTGTTCTGGCGTATCCTCTTTTTCTACATCCTGGGCTCGTTGGCAATTGGTGTTTTGGTCCCTTACAACGACCCCAATCTCCTAAACGCTCGCGAGACGAATGCGCCTGGTGCCGCTCAATCACCTTGGGTTATCGCCATCAACCGTGCCGGAATCGATACCCTTCCATCCATCATTAACGCTGTAATCTTGACATCTGCTTCTTCTTCGGCCAACGCCTTCTTGTACACCGGATCTCGATATCTTTACGGCATTGCGCAAATCCGCCAAGCACCCAGATTCCTGCTCAAGTGCACAAAGACCGGTGTCCCCGTGTGGTGCGTGCTGGTCACCTGGTCAATCTCACTCCTCACCTATATGTCTTGCTCCTCCGGCTCAAACACAGTCTTCACGTGGTTCCAAAACTTAACCACCATTTCCACCCTCTTCACCTGGATCAGCATTTGCATTGCTTACCTTCGCTTTTACTATGCCTGTGAAGCCCAGGGCATCAACCGCAACGAGTTGCCTTTCAAGTCTCCCTTCCAACCGTACCTCGGCTACGCATCCGCCATCTTCTTCGGTCTCATCATCTTCTTCAATGGCTTCGATTCGATTGCCGGAAGCTGGGATTACCAGGCTTTCATCACCGACTACATCGGAGTACCCATCTATTTCGGACTGTATTTGTTCTGGAGAATCTTCAAGCGCACGCACTTCCGCAAGGCGTCCGAAGCCGATCTGTACACGGGCAAGGCTGCGCTGGATGCCATAGTATGGCCCGAGCGCAAGCCTAGAAATATCTTGGAGAGGATCTGGTTCTGGATTGCATGAAAGACGAGGGGGTGGCGATGATGTATCTTGGACGCTTTTCCTTGTTAAAAAATGATATACCATACCCTGCACGCGTTTCATGTTATATGTACCTTTGAACAAACCAGTCAGACAGCTCGAAGGCTAGCCATGATATCAACATATTTTCAAAACTGTCAAAATGAGAGAAATACTCGACATACCTCGATTGACTCCGGATGCGTCTTGTTGTATCCCTTGTCTCTGTTCGTATCCCGTGACGCCTGTCCCTTGCGGCCCAGTTCCGTTCTTCCTTGACCGTGTTCGTGTATGTGGGCGCGCATTCTGAGTGATGGGTCAGCAACTGAATAGCCGATTGACTGACTGGGCCTAGGGAAGGCGAGGCGAGGATAGCCTTCGTCGGATCCCTCCCGCGTCAAATGTCACGTTCCCATCAAACCCCCTGGTGCCTCGGGTTCTTGACGAGCCGAGTTATTTGGGCCGCGGTGGTTCGAGGGAGAGGATGAGTAACAGTAATGAGGATGGTGCTCGCCGAGGAGTTTGATTGATTGATTGGTTCATTGATCGAGTGAGTGGGTGAGTGGCTGATTGACGGACGAACGGACGGACTGGCCGATACATCAATCGAGACAGGGTTTGCGGATAGGCAGGTGAGGAGGTAAGATAGGCAACGTAGGGAGGTATAGTAAGTTGAACCCCGAACCGTCTGGACATCCGCCACGTGCTCATTAGCTTGCTAGCTCGCCCGCTCGCTCGCTCCCTCTCACCTGTCGATATTGCCCGCGCTAGGGACGCCAGAGTCCCTGTTTGGTGGAAATGTGGTTGGCAGCGGAATTGCAGAGGAGAAGCGGTCGTGCATGCGCGAAGGTCCTCCGGGAGGCTGAGTCGGTAAGTAGGTAAGTGAGTACGAATAGTCTCATGCCCGTGCCGGGGGCTGAGTGCCATCGAGCGAGTCGCTCTGCGACGTGTCCGTGTCAATTCGAACAGAAGGAGGTACTTTGTCTGTTGACGGAGGGAAGGGGGTTTAGACGGAAAGACGGATCTGGCGCTGCGACGACTCTTGAGCAACCTGCGTAGGTTCCCCCTGTAGATCGTGTCGCTAGGGGAAGTCGGGTTGAAGCTTCCCTTGCGCATATATCAGCTTTGCCCTCGTGGTCCCCTCTTGTTCTCCTTGTTCTGCTCCAGGGACGGTTGGTTCAATGAGTGAGCGATCGAGTGACTGAATGGGAGGCCGAGTGGACTCCTGGGTTAGGTTTTCCCGACTCTGCGGATTGCAAAGGGGTCGAGGCTGTTGAATGGATGGACGGCCGAGCGAGCGATTGACTCTGTACAAGTTTCTGAGAACACCACATCGGTCATTCAGTCAGTGAGTCACCTCCGGGGGTTGATGCATGCTCCTCTCTGAGCCAGCCTGCGTGATGCTTCTCCGTGCGCGTGAGTGCTGGTTGTTTGTAAATCAGGCCTTTCTTTCTCTTCATCATCGCCGCTCGGACGACGTCCCTCATTTCGCGAGCAATCAACCGCTTTCTTTCTCCAATACCCCCTTCTATGCATCACACTGTATTTCTCCAGGGTTGTTCTTCTTGGGTAAATACACCAACGCAAGGTCGAAAGCGGATCAAGTACGCCCTCTGAAGAGAGACAGACCCTAGAATATGGTTGGCGAGGACGGGAACAAAAAAAAACAAAAGAGAAGAGAGTGTAAGTGAGTAAGCCCGGAAAGTGAAAAGAACAGACGTCAATCCCCGACGAAGAACAAAGGAAAAAGAGCCAACATCACATAAAACGCAAACCTTCTACTCCAGAACCCACCCTCCGAGGCTGTCCTCGCAATACACACTTCGTACCGAGTACTCCGTGTTAGGGCCGACAATACCAAGGACAAAAGCCCTTGTGGACGTGGCTTGTGTGCCTCTCTGCGGAGGAGCAATTTCTAGTGGTCGAATTCGGTATTTAGCGGTGCCACGTTCTGGGGCTAGCACCATCTTAGCCAGGTCGATGTGGGCTGTTTGGATCCAGCACGGTTACCCAGCTCGCTAGGTGCTTATGGTGGGTTCTTGCATATCAAAGGGCGTGGGATATGGGGAAAGCAATGTCAACTGTTTGCCATCTTGCATATTGCCGAGAACTTGTGGTGTTTTGATCCTTCGTTTCTCTAGGGTGGCTTGCGACTCAATCGTGTAGAGAGGCAACAGGAAAAGCCACCGGATTGAGGACCGGTTGGACTTGTTCCATCTGCCGACGTCCGGCGACGCTAGGGGATAGAGCTTATACTTGTACAACGGAGAAGGATTTGGAGGAAATCAGAAAGAAGACGTAGATATACAAGGACAGACTCAGCCCATGAGCGACGAGACAAAGATTGAGCAAACCTGGCGGTAAGCTGGAGATTCCTGGGGGCATGATTACTGTCACGTTGTCGCCGTCGTGTCAGCAGATAACTGCTGCTCCACCACCTCCTTCCAGCGGACGCAACATATACCCAAATCTGGTATCCGGTAAGCCTCACGCGCGTATGCGTATAAGGGAGTGCTCGAGTGATTCAGATGTTTGTCCCTCTTTTTTTGCACAGGGCACACTAATTCAAAAAGCACTTCCCCCATTGGGGTTGGGCGTACCCTCTACAGCGGAAGCATGATTTGCCGGGATTGCTTCGCTTAGCCACGTAAAGTACTGTATGCCTCACGCCGAAACAAGTTGTGTCCTGTGCTAGCCTCGTCCATTATCATTGGTTGGGTTTCAATTTCTGTTAGTGAAGGGCGTAGGTAAAAACGGGCTGCACAAGTAAAATATTTAACACAGTGGGATGACAATGGCTCCACTGGGTCAAAAAGAATAAGGTCTTTGAAGGACGCGCCCTTCCGACGTCGGAGGCTCCAAAGACTCCATTTATGCTGACACCAATCCGAGATTGTTTAAAGGTTCAATTTGCGGGCGAGTTGATGAATCTGTCGACATCCTTTTGCGCCCAAGGGGATTCGGAGCAAAAGAAGACTCTCTTGAGAGAACGATCAAGCATCTGCGTCTTCTCCTAGGGAGAACGACAACGAGGCCCTGGAAATGCAAATGGTTGAGCCAATGCATTCCATGCAGCCCTGGCGAGTGACCGTCGCTAATGCCACAACAATAGCTGCCATCTCCTCGGGCTTTGCGCCACTCACATCCTCAGGGCCTGAGCTGTCAGTGGCAATTAGTGTCTCCGTAACGCAAGAGGCTGGTAGAAGCTTCCTCTGTTATTCCCAAATCCTTCCACATCCACACTTGTCTCCTCCTGGAAGACCACGAAAGGCTAGATGAGGATCGGTTTGTGAATCTCACAACTGGCTGTAATTCCACGTGCATACTTAGCTTTGAGCTTTTGTGCTTTCTGAGTCGCAGTCTCCTGGAAGTATAGCTGGAATATAATATTGGTAGCCAAAATATGAGCTGAAATAAACCCTCGAGAAGGCATCACCACTCGTCTTGTGGTGGATCGCGTAATTGGAACAAAAAGCCAGTGTTTCGATCGGCCTTGACAATTTCGCCTACCGCTGCAGCGCAGTTCTTGTTCTCTTACCGCGCTTGGTTGACGATCTTCTCTTGACCAATGTTAATCTACCACAGGGCCGAAGCTGTCAAACGGAAAGCCTCTAAGTTCCAGATCAGGATTCTTTCTCACTGCACGTGCTCGGTAGACATCGTTCCTGTCGGAACATGAGTCCGGAGCCATGATTCGTGCGTGTATCCCTGCAACCCGGTGTAGTCGTCTGCCTTGTCGCGAATCGCCCACGCTGATTCGCGTGCAGAAAGAACACAGTCACTCATTCCGGGAGCGCCCCGCCACCAAGGGCCTGCAAGTTTCAACCGTCCGTGATACATGGACGTTAAAGCCTCGTGAATGGTGGCCATGTCCTGAGCATACCCGACGGGATACTGCGGAATGCAATCGCGGTTGAGCCGCGCTTTGGCCACTTCGGGAGATTCTTGGATGTTGAGGTGTCTCCTCAACAGGGTTTGGGCCATTTCAATTGCCTGCTCTTCGCTAGGAAGGTCGCTCGGAGCCCATTCACTCCACCAATGTCCACCCAACATGACCGTCAACTTTGTACCCGGTGCGGTGTCCTGCAGCACAATCTCTGAATCATCTTCGGGGGGATCTGGATCCAGGGGGCCACCCCGGTCACTGTCAATAGAGATAAAGTAAGGGCCAGCGGATCTGGAGGCGATTGAATCAGACCGGCCAGATGTCTCGGAACTGAAGATAACGCCCAGAGCACGTTCCGGATTCTGTTCGAGCGGAACAGAGCGCGGAATAAGGTACCCAAAGCCTCTGACCGATGGAGGCAGCAAATTCTGGTTGCTGTAGTACAGATTGACAACCATGACATTGACAGAGGCATCACTGTGGTCACAGGCATTTGTGACCTTAGGATCTAACGCCGAACTCAAAGCTTGAGCGCTGCGGGATAGAAATTGCTTCAATGTCCGAGGCCCCAGTGTTGAAACAACATAATCATAGTTTGAGGTGATTCCAGACGGATTGCGTCTAACGGAGACTTGATTCTTGTTTTCATTGAACACGACATCTTCGACTGGACTTGACTGCAAAATGGTAATGTTCTCGTTTTTCCGAAGCTCTCGTTCCAACGAAGAGGTTATCTGGCCTAACCCCCGCCTGAATGTAAAAACACTCATTTCGCCGAAGCTGTCCAAGTTCGGTATTCTTTTGTAGTAGGTCTCCAGCGACCTGAGCGCAAGAACCTGCCGGTTCGCGTGTAGAACCCCATCGACAGGATTAAGAGTAACGCGGTTTGCCATGTTGGATAAAATCTCCAACAGGATGCCGGGTGCTTTTTCTCGGTCTCGCGTTTCAAGATGCCACAACTGCGGCAGTAAGGTCCTAGCGCTGAGCCTGTAAATGTCGCCGGCGAAAATTCCGTGACACACAGCAGAAAGTAGGTTATCCGCAACGTTCTTGTCAAATCTTCGGGACACGAAATCTCCGACGGATTCGTCCCTCACATTTTCATCTCGGGGAGGCACCCACGGTTCTCTCAAGCATCTCCATATTCCATCGTATAGGGGTTCGGTGAGCACGTTGTTCACAGCCCGAAGCAGCTCCAGGAGCGAAGTGTGTCTATTCAAGACAGGTAAACGAACAAGATGATCAGGATAGTAGATGTATCGATTGAGGGCAGCCGGGCTAGATTTTGATATCGCGACAAGATCTTTGCCGATGCGAAGTTGCGCAAGCTAGGAAACCATGTTAGCAACACGGGCAGAAGATTCTCGGTGTTGTGCTTACCAGCTCCAGCATAGCAAGCGGCGCAGGCCCCAGCCCAGCTCTCAGCGTTCGAGGACCCCATTCAAAAAGAACCTCCCCCTTGTCTACCCGAACCACTTCTGAATCGACCCATCCTCCAAGCCTATTGCTCTTCTCCAGTATTGTGATCTTTGCAGTGGGCAGCTGGCTGCTTAACAGGAAGGCTGTAGCAAGACCCGTAAACCCTCCCCCCAGAATGGCTATCTCTCGAGCATGTGGGTTTGGAGGAGGTAGTTCATCTTTACCACCAGGATGGCGTATCTTGATGTAGCCATGGCCGGCGGTCGTGTGAAACGTACGGAGGGTCAGCGTCGCTCGAGACTGCAATGCGTACTTTACGACATTTTGGTAGGGAGCACTACAGCCACCCACGCGCATATCCAGGGGATCCACACCGAACGGTGCATGCGGAAGGGGTCACGGAACGAAATCTAGAAGGGATCTGGAGACTGCGGAGGAGATGATGGGGGGCATCAAGAATTCAATTTGAATCCGTTCTACCAAAATTTTGGCGAGATGATGCTGGTCGGCTCGGCTCACTTGCCGCAAATCTACCTCCTTGTTGGGAAGTCCGCCTCGCCGTTTTCGGCTCCTTCGTTTGGCAGATGCAGCGCAGAAGGCGAGAAGGATTCTCTCCCAGACCGGAATCAGGACGTCGGCCGCACCACTGAGGACTCTTGCTGCTGACTGTAGATGTCTCATGCCTCGATCCGCACACAGGCCGCAATTCCCAGCCATTTGATAAATCCAGTAGTCATGAATCATGTTCCCTAGCTCATCAGCATACTCCTATTTCATGCAGTGGCAATGGCTGTTTTGGTGGATTCCTCGCCGAACCTCCGGCGAGGACAGGTTCATAGACAGTCCGAATAAGTGGTAGGGTTTCACCTCGCTGCTTGAATTGGAGGCCAGCCCAGCAGCCCCAAAATCAAACACCTGTGTACACATCGTGGAACAGCGGCGGCATTAGCCCCTCAACCGACCAAGTTGGTCGATGAAGCAACTTCATTTACAGGCTCAGCAGTGTCTTCCTGCATCTCTGGACCACCATAACCCAACTTCTTCAGATCGCGCAGCAGTTCGCCTTCTTTTCCGATCTTCATGATCTGGTCATGCGACAGCTTCTCGCCGGCCGCCCGCTTTTCTCTCAGATCACGGACTGCACGTAACTTCTTGAGCTGGTTGCGGATTTTCTTTTGTTGTTCCGCGTCGGCTTCGGCGGCCGGTTCCTCGTTGGTTGCCTGTTTCGAGGGATCGTGCCAGTTTTCCTTGCACTTGTCTCTTCCCGAGATATCGGCTATTTGCATCGCTGATGCGAGTTCATCTTCTGCGTCCTCAGCTGACCCCTCTGCTGCTGCCCTCCTTCGTGCGGCCTCCCTGCGTTTTGCGTTCTTGCTCAGTGCGGGAGACTCGTCTTTGGCTGCAGTGGCCGACTCTGCCCCAGGTACGCCACCATGGCCTCTGTTCTTCCATGCTTCAGCGCTCCTATTCTTGTAGGTTTCGACGTCTTCCGGCGGCCTGTAGCCCGGCCTCACCCTGATCTCTTTCCTGGTGGACCCATCCGCCCGTTTCGAAGCCGGAATATACGAAGCACCATCTGCAGTGATCTGTATGCCAGATTTGCTGGCTCGAGGCGTGCCAGACGGTCGGCTCGACATGGTACGGGGACAAGTGGCGGAAAGGATTCAGGTGGACGTTAACATGGCGAACTCCTCTGCCTCTCCAGAAGTTTCGCGGGCACGCAGCCGAAGGCTTCCTGAACTAGGCCTTCCGGGCAGCGAAGAATACGTTGCAAGCACCGGGTAATCTCGGTGGCTTTAGTGGACCTCGCAGTAAGTGGGGGAATAAAAATGAAAAAGAAGTGTGAATGATGGGTGATGGGGCCGTAGCTGGGGGGTGGGTGGCTCGGTGGGTCAAGATGAACCTACGGTGAAACCCCGCACTTGGTGGGGAGAGAAATGGACAACAGCCTCATTGCTGGGCTCGCGGCGTCCAAGGTTCAAACATCTCAGAACCTAAGACGTGTTGGTATTGCTTGCCTGCGCCACCTCGACTTGGTCAGCCTGAGATGAAAACATTAAAATTCAACTCAGTAATACTAGCACTTGTACCCTGTACTCCGTAGTGAAATGCGGCTCTGCTGCCAAGACATTACACTCAGCCTCCCTCGCATCTTCGTGGGGAAGCGATCGCTCTGAAAGCTAGCCTCTCTCGGTTACTTAAACCTAGGTAGGTATGTATTTTCATGCATCTGGTGTTCAGTAATGAGGTAGAATATCATCTAACTCGATCAAGGCGGCAGTGGCTGCCTAAGTACTCTCAACGGAGTCGTAATGGATTTGCTGGCTTCACAACATCTTGAAGCCTATAACTCAGGTATATAATGACGAACGCAATTATCTCTTCAGCGCTTTTGTGCTCCAAGCAAAACTATCTTTGCAGGCGGTGGTGAGCCGTTCCCAGGAGAAACACTTGAATTCTTTAACCATCGCTCGGCGAATACCTTCAGGCAGGCGCTGGCGGCCGGATATCATCTCTGCTCGATCTTGAGAAGCCTCCTTCCACCTCCCCTTCACCAACTCGACTGGAGATATCAACCGTCACTCGATGATAAACGGCCTCCTTTTGACGGATGGATGGAGTTGTCAGATATGCTTTCCTCTGAAAAGACTGATATCCTCGCACTGAGGTTGTCGGCACGCCGCCACCGCGATACCTCAGTCCGGTTTTTTTTGAGATTGGGAACCGTAAACACCTGGGTAAGCACGACTATAATGAGAAATGTTGCCATGAACACGGCTTTCCCGAAGAGGTATGATACTCCCTGGTATACTATCGGAGCATGACCCGGCGACCCACGGTTTGGTTCTGGTTTCTAAGCCCGACTGGAAGAAGCGGCGTGGATAGCTGCTGGTCCTTGAAAATGGTCATATATGAGGCAGGTTAGATGGCCATGTTGCAAGTGGTACCTTCCTCGCTGACTGTTCATTTTAGGCCCCTCTGCTCCTGGCTCTTTGTTGGCAATTGACTCGAATGCCGCTCAGTCGAACGGCTATCGATACGGTTCGAAGACTACAGACGAGGAGAAGATCCGGATGACTGCTCGTACCTGGCTTATGAACTGCGTGAAGAACCACGGCTCTTGTTGCTCTCTCCAAAACCCAGCTTCTCTACCATCAAGGTTGCTTCATCTGGTGCATGATCTAAGCTGAAACCAGCACATTGTCAGATTACGCTGTACCGCCCAGGCAGGCATGAAGGGCGAAGACTACATGACTCTTTCCGATTGTCGGGGTGATCTCGAAAAGATGGTCAAACTGACGAAAGCTAATCTCAATGCTTTAATCTGCGGAATGATATTGGAGCATTTCCCACAGAAGTTCCACCAGGCGCTTGAATTTGCGTCCTTTGGCGGCATCAACGATTTATGGATAGATGCCCTTTGTATCATGCAAGACGACAAAATTGACTGGTCAAAGGGAAGCCCCATTCATGGGTTTCTATATGCCAAAACGCCTTCTGCAACCTCAGTGCCGCCGACTCCGATGGTCGGGAAGGCAGCTTGTATGCCTATCGAGATCCCCCGCTCGTTGCACCTCTCTGCATCTCACTGAATCTAGATACGTGGAAAAGGACTAATGTAAGCCCCGGATAGCAGTACGTCTGTATTGTAGAGTCCTTGTGGAAGCGATGTGTTATAATCATTGGTGAATAACTGGGGTTGGGTCATGAAGGAAAGATTGCTGTCTCCCTGCACAATATTCTTCACAATGCAGCAGCTCTTTTGGAATACCGCTGCAACCAAGCTTGCGAAACGCTCGCAGATGGCGTATCGCAAGATCTGTTTCACTCACACCGCTTACCCGGGTCTATCAAGAACTTGAGGCCTTTACAGTCAACGATTGATCAGCTGTTGCTCCAACGACGGAGTGGTCCAGCCGTATCATCTACTGGTACCCAGCTTAAAAAGCATCTTCTAAGCCTTTGGGGTGATTTTCTGAATTTGTACAGCAGATGCAGGCTAACTTACAGGGTTGGTCGGATAATAAAATGCAATTGCAGAATGTCTAGAAACCGTCCTGGAAGACAAATTCCTTTACGGAATATGGCACAATGAACTGCCTTACCAACTGTTCTTTGAACACAATCCCGCAGTACAACACGACTCCAAAGACTCAATGCCCGAACTCAAGGACCTTACTGTCAATCCCAGAGTACTTAGCTGGAGCTGGGCATTTCACGACGGAGCACTAGATCAGGTACCTTTCTCCAGCTGGAAGGTAAAAGAAGATAATATCCCTTTGGTCTCGATCGTGGACTTCAAAGAGGGCAAGGATGCAGAAATAATCTTCGGCGGTGAGAGGCTCAGCCACTATGCGGCTTATCTACAGCTCAAATGTTTTGTGTTACGATGCACGGAAAATCCAGAAGAAGTGGTCCAGAACATAATTACTATCGGCACTTCAATGTGCTAGCGCATCTTGGAGACTGCTCAATGCCTGCAGTGGTGCATTTTGATCAGAATATTCCACCAAACAGCTTCATCCTGCCATTGTTTTGGTTCGACTGGTCTGGTCCCGGTAACGCAATCATCCTCACTCAGTTATCAGGTACAGGTCTCTATGTGTACAAAAGGTCGGGTTTTGTTGGTGCCAATATAAGACTGTGGACTGCTTTCAAAGAATACAAGGAGTCAGAGTGGAAGAAGAGACTTTCGACTTGGTCTAGCCGCCGACACTCGCTGCTCTCTGACACATTTACTGTATCAATCACTCGGTCCAAAGCTGTCCGCTCAAATTCCTTTCGGCATTGGGCTCGGCAATCGAAGAAGCGGGTTATCAGCGACAGCGTGAGACGACACAAGACGTGTAACGTCTACACTGAATCGTGCGCCCCGAGCGGTCCTCGGCATCAGTTGATACGTCGGGCGGGGAAAGGGTATACCATTTTACGGAGCCAATGAACAAGTCATAATGAAGGCAAGAATGGCGGTTGTCACCGCCATAGCGAACTCCATTGCGACCTCACCTTTTTGCAGGGAATTTGTGTGCATTCGTGTAGAAATTGGGATCTCTTCAACTCTATCTCCACAGACGTGATTTAGCACTTTCACGTGCAGCGAGAGATGTAGTTATGATAGCCATGACCACAACCGCGCAAAGTACCAAAGGAGATCAGCATCTCCGCCGAAAGTTAGAGGACCGACGGCAGTAACCGACGAAAAGGTGGAGTGAAAGGTCAGTGGCTTGTTGGCAATCAGCGTCGGGCCGCTCGAAGGTTTCAGTCGAGAGGACAGTCTTCGGAGAAGCTTCCACAACAAGCTGTTCTCTGCGTCAGGTAAGTTAGTGCTCGAGTGTCGTTTCGTTGAGCAGACAAGCGAAAACTGAGAGGAGAGTGGTAATGTAAGACAGTGCAGGAGCATGGCGAAGGAGGATCGAGCTAATCGAGCCTTGAAGTGTAGGCTCGGCGACGCCGCTTTTGAAAAGCCTCTCACTTTCATTGGATACGCTTATGGCTTTAAACTTGGAGGACCAATTATTGTTCCCATATTCAATCTCCACGGAGGTGCAGGAACTGATCAAAACTGGTCTAAGGGGTGAGAACAGGGCGGCATCACTCCTGCTCCAATTCGGGCTACTTGCCCTGCTTGTCTTCTGGCTTGGCTTCCGAGCTCTTGCGACAAGCTCGTCGAAGGTCTTGCATTTGATTCTAAGCTGCTGAACTTCCTCGCGTTACCCTCATTAAGACCCCCAAGCCCTAAGCCGCCGCTACTCGTGCAAAGATGCCTGCTGTGGTATGGCTCTGCCTCTTGAGATCTATGTCGCAGTTCAAATACTGACCAGCCATCGCAGTCTCAGATTTCCAGCGGCATCTTCAAGTACGAGGCCCCTTCCAGCTCTTCCGTCTCTACTCTTGCTCACTCCCTCACAGTGGCCTGATGCGCAAAAATGCTACCTGGTTGACGACTATCTTTCTTGGAGCCTTCACATTCGAACTGTGAGCTCGTGTTGATTGCGACATCCTTTCTACTCCGAAACTGATACACTTCGCAGGGCGTTCGAGGGTGTAACGAACTCTATGTGGGACAACTGGAACAAGGGTGTACGTGCTCCGTGATGGACAAGATTGTGGAACGCAGATTCTGACTCTACAATACAGCGGCAATGGAAAGACATCAAGCACAGATACATGCAGCAAGCTGAGGAAGAGGAAGAGGAGTAGTCGGGCCACCACTATACATTTGGAGTACGGAGATGCCGTCAAGGCCGAAGGACCCCGATGAAGCAAGGAAAGGAGAAGTCACCTGCAAAGCAAAAGACCTAGGAAGACTCTGTACATAACCACAAACAACGAGGACGAACCTGAATTCGAGACCATCCCGTGACCTTACCAACGATATCATTCCCCACGAGAGAGGCGGAACTACAAGTAGGCCATGTCTGTGTTTCGGACAGCCCCATTGAAATAGACCGGCTCGCCTATCGTTGAAAGAGTACCAATGATACAAATCGGCTACAATTCTGTGGCGGCATGCCCGACGGAGACAGTCGAGATTAGACGGTCTCTTGGTCTTTGGTCTGGGACTCTGATATCCACATGTGCTAGACCTTGGGAAAGAGAAGAGAGTTGAGTGACGGATTTCACGGATACCAGTAGAACATGCGTCCCCATCTCGTGACCGTATGATGTTCCCGATGCGAACATTACTTGTTACGTATGGAATCCGGGGACAGAAGCGCACCGAAGACGAGGCGGGCATAATTGCCTCGCGGGCTTGGCCTCCAGGTAACGCATCGTGCATACTTGGTAGTCGTTGCATCTCAGCCTTCGTCACGCTTCCCTTCGCCTAATCGTAACAGAACTCCTACTTTGCCTCCGGCAATCTGCAATCCACGATCCACGAGATCCCATCCACTATCGGAGTCCGAAATCTGGGTTGAGAACCTACCCCAAGCACAATCAACCCCGTTCAGTTGGTAACAACCAAACAACTGCGCAAGAAACAATCATTCCATCCCCGCCTTCCCTCACATCTATCCACGCAGCCAGTTCCCAACGATACCCTTCTCTGCCGGAATATACTGCTCCTGCACGTCCAAATGTGGGCCACAGGCACCACGGGACTCTCATCATGACAACGCCAACCTCCAGCCTGGACCGCCAACTCCGCCAGGCTCTCTGCGATCACCCGCGGCTGCATGACTATCGCTACGATGCCAGTGCAAAAAACAGTCTCCTAGAGATCCTCTTTCGGTCTCTGACCAATGATCGAGCAGATTACTTGGGCGATCTCTTCCCCCAGGGCTTCCCTCCCTCATTCAAGCTGCAAGACGCGCAGGGAGTACAAGAGAATGCTGAATACAGTGCTGCTGCTAGAGGTCATCCATGCGGACACATTTTCAAGCCGGGAGAGGCCAGCTATCATTGCAGCACCTGCACCGACGACACAACAGCCGTCCTTTGCTCGCGCTGTTTCATTGCTAGCGATCATGAAGGACATCAGTATAGCGTAAATGTCAGTGCGGGAAATAGCGGATGTTGCGACTGCGGTGACGACGAAGCATGGAAGAGATCTGTAAAATGCGCCATTCATACAGCCAGTGACGACTGGACAACAACCGACGAGCATGTTTCTCCCTTGCCGGCAGATTTGCAAGAGTCTATTCGTATCACAGTCAGCAGAGTGTTGGATTACTTCTGTGATATCATATCATGTTCTCCGGAGAACCTGCGCTTGCCCAAGACGGTGGAGTCGGTGACCCAAGATGAAGTCAGAAGTAGGCTCTCTGCAGAGCACTACGTTTCAGGGGACGAGATCGAAACCAATCCTGATTACTGCTTGATCATCTGGAATGACGAGAAGCATACAGTTCGTGAGGTCCAGTCGCAAGTGGCGCGAGCATGCCATCAGCGTGAGGCGTTTGGTTTGGCCAAAGCCGAAGAAGCTAATGACATCGGCAGGAGTGTGATCAGGCACTCTCGCGACCTCAAAGAGCTGACGAGAATGGCGAAGATTATTGAAGAAATCAAAGTAACAGTCACGATCAGGTCGTCTAGGGATACTTTTCGAGAACAAATGTGTGGCACAATCATTGAATGGCTTGCTGATATTGCTGGTGCTAGCATTGCAGGAGATAGCCATATCCTGCGGCGCGTTATATGCGAAGAAATGCTCCAGATCTGGCGGATCGGTAGTCAGGCTTGGAATGCTAAGGTGGGGAGAGAAGATCTAGATGATCATGGCGACGAGGACGATCGCGATTACAGAAGGAGGTCAAGGCGTCGCTATTTCCACCCCATTCAATTTGCAATGCAAAGGGCAATCGTGAGAGAAATCCTGGTTGACAATGAAGTCAGTGACGGTAATGAGACTGGGGAGGTTGATGATGACGAAGAGGACGAAGATGAGGACGACAATGAACTAGTCGACATGGATGATCGAGAAATGAGTGATCTCATCCTCACAGCGGCGGGTTTCGATGCGCCACATCCTCTGAATCTCTTCGAACAGCAAGCAGCCGATGCGGATGTTACAGATGATGCTGAGGAAATGGACACCGACGGCGACGGGGAGTTCTTGGATATTGCCGAACGAATGGATATGGACGGACCGTCGCCTCCACCGCCAGCTCTTCCTACTCAGGATGTCGGAGACCCTGGAAACAATGTGACAATGGGAGGGGATGCATCTCCCACGGACCCAGACAGCAATGCCAATTATCTCAACATACCTAGGACGCCTGCGGTCTCTGTCCGGACTACACACCATCGATCTACGCCGCCAAACCACTGGAAATTGCCTCCATCGAGTCAACCTCCGCAGAATACAACTCTCCCCGTCTATGAAGATCTCACGAAGAATATCCGGGTGGATTCCATGATCCTCTTCGATTTGCGCTTGTGGAAACTTGCAAGGACGAATATCCGAGATCTTTTCATCAGCACACTTGTCAACATTCCTCAATTCAAGCGTATTCTTGGACTTAGATTCTCCGGCCTGTACACAACCCTCGCCCAGCTCTACCTGGTGGCAGACCGCGAACCAGACCATTCCATCATAAACCTGTCATTGCAGTTGTTGACCACGCCCTCTATCACGGAAGAGGTGATTGAGCGGGGGAATTTCCTCACAAACTTGATGGCCATTCTTTATACCTTCCTGACTACCAGGCAAGTGGGATTTCCGAAGGACCTCGACCCAGGGGCCACCCTAGGCTTCGATGCTGGGTCCGTCGCCAACCGTCGACTTTACCATTTCTTCTCTGATTTGAGATATTTTCTTGCCTCGCCATTTGTACAGGCCAAGGCCCGGAGCGAGCCACAGTATTTGTTCCAGTTTCTCGACCTTGCCAAACTGTCCCAGGGCATCTGTCCTAACGTGCGAGCTGTGGGGGAGCATGTTGAATATGAAACAGATGCCTGGATCAGTGCCTCTTTATTGACCCGCGACATCAACAAACTATGTCGACAGTTCGCAGAAGCATATTATGTGTCAAGGGACAGCAGCCCTTCGGCTCTTCGCGCAACTTGGGATGCAATCTCGCATGCTGCAGGTATCGCAATCATAAATTCTGTCGGCCTCGAGCGACGGCGGTTTGAGCAGGCGGAGATCAAGGAGCCTGTCCGATTTCATACTGTAGCTCCTTATGGCTACAAAGTTGTCGACTTCATAGTTGAGAAAGGCGCCTTGAGTTTCCACCACCCGTTGCACTACACGCTCTCCTGGTTGTTGGAATGCGGCAAGGATTTCAAACAGTCCATAACCACCCTCCGAGACACCGCGCAGACATTCTTGTCACACCTGCATGATACCCCGCTGGGTCCCCGGGATAGCACAATTAAAAATGCCCTCAATTCAGTCGACGATGCACTTCTTGCAATGTTCGACTTCCCACTTCGTGTTTGTGCCTGGTTGGCGCAGATGAAGGCTAATCTTTGGGTCCGAAATGGAATGAGTTTGCGCCATCAGATGGTACAGTACAAAAGCGTCGCACACCGCGACGTTGGACACCACCGAGATCTGTTCCTTTTGCAAACTGCACTTGTGGCCTGTGATCCCAGTCGAGTACTTGCGTCGATGATCGATCGTTTCGGCCTTTCTGCTTGGATGCGAAGTGGCTTCGACTCCCTCGAGATCTGCGACGACAATCAGATGCTGGACCTTGCAGAGGATTTTGTATATCTTTTGATCAATCTACTGTCCGACCGAGACGCTCTCATTTCCGGCCGAGACAACCCCGAGTCTCAACTTCTTACGCTTCGAAAAGACATTGCTCATACACTCTGTTTTAAACCGTTGTCATACTCTGACCTGTATTCTCGCCTGACGGAAAGAGCACAGGACCACGAACAATTACAGGAAGTTCTCGAGCAAATGACCAAATATCGGCCACCAGAGGGCCTACACGACTCTGGCTTATTTGAGCTGAAAGAAGAATATCTGCAAGAGCTGGATCCATACAACTCCCACTTCACAAAAAACCAGAGAGATGAGGCAGAGAACATTTACAAGAAGTGGATGGGCAAAAAGTTGCACAAACCACCGGAAGACATCGTCTTGGAGCCCAAGCTGCACCATATCCCGTGTGAGGCATACACCAGTCTCTGTGCTGTTGTCAACACCACCCTTTTCGCAGATGTTATTCACAAGGCTCTGATCTACGTCGCCCAAGGCCACAAGTCCAAAGCCGGAGTTTCGGGAACACGCGTCGAGGCATTTCTTCAGATTGTTCTCCAACTTGCGCTTATTGCTACTTTAGAAGACAATTCCACGGACGACGCACCCGACGGTGCCTCCTTCGTTCGACATGCCATGAAACTAGAACTAGAATCCCACAATAGCCTACCATCCACCATAGTTGCGGTGCTGTCCAAGATATGGCTCATGGAAGAATTTAGCTCTTGTCGAAGCAAAATCAGGCATATGCTACGACTTTTCCATCAAAAGCTGCCTCATCAGTTCACTACCGCAACTCGGAACTTGGATTTCCCTTCAGGTAGATTCGACACAGCATCTCCCGCTAACGTTGAAAGCGAGATCGAGGCCAAGAAGAAACAAGCAATGGAACGAAAAGCAAGAGTCATGGCTCAGTTCCAACAGCAGCAACAGAGTTTCATGGACAAGCAAGGCATGACCGACTGGGGTGACGAAGACCTGGAGTCTCCTGATGAAGAATTACCAAAATCGACGGAGACTCGCCATTGGAAATATCCTGCTGGATTATGTATCCAGTGTCGTGAAGATACGTCCGATGCAAGATTTTACGGCACGTTTGCTATGGTCACCGACGCTCACATCTTACGGCAAACGTCTACGCATGACGTGGACTTTGTTGGTGAGCTCTTTGCGATCCCCGAGAATCTAGACCGCTCTATCGAGAGTATCCGGCCATTTGGGGTTTCTGGCTCCAATCATGAACAGGTGAAGCGTCTGACAGCCATGGGCCAGGAGATCACGGTTGATTTTCAAGGTTTGGGTGGAGGTTGGCCAAAAGGCTACACTATGAAGGGTCCGGTCTCTACCAGCTGTGGCCACATCATGCATTTCACGTGTTTCGAGAACTATTATCAGTCGATTACACGGAGACACTCACAACAGGTTGCCAGGAACCACCCCGAAAGGATATCGTTGAAGGAGTTCGTGTGTCCCCTTTGCAAGGCGCTTGCAAACTCATTCCTGCCGATCATATGGAAACACTCACAACAATCTTATCCCGGAGCCCTTGCTGTTTCGCAAGATTTTGACTCCTTCTTGTACAATATCCTACCGTCAGTTGACGCGCCGACCGCGGATCTGGACCCCTCATTTGATGCCCATGCTTCACAGAACTACTTACAGACTCTGGCAACATTCTCCAACAGCTCCTTGGCCCCAGCCGTAGCTCGCTGGCAATCAGGTGATCTCACCATAAGCCCGACGAGCCAAGCATGGGCCGAGCGACCAGAGCTGACAGCTTTTGCAGAGCTCGCCAGCATCTATGGTCGGCTTCGAGAAACTCTCGCCATAGTTGCAGCGACGAGCCAAATTGCGGCTCCGAGGGAGGACTCGAATCTGAACCACTTTCAGCTCCTGGTCAATACCTTGGCAAATACGATAGCCTCAGTCGAGATTGGCCACAGAGGCCGCGAGGCTGAATTCGGCACTTCGTTGTTGACAAGCATACCACAGCAGACGCTCAGCCACTTACAAACGGTGTCATCCACGTTGAGCGCCTATGCGGCTACTGGCGCCTTGACTGTCCGTGGTTCGGTCGAGGCTCAATACAGAGAACTTTGCGGACAGCTTGAGCGTCAGTTGGCTGGGACGACGGGAATTATGACTCCATCAACCGAGTCTGAGAGGGTTTTGCCTCTCCTTTGCATGGATCCTTTCCAGTTTCTCGTCCAGACAACGATGGTGCTTAGCCCTATTCGACATTTGGAACTCCGCCACGTTTTGCAAATGGCTCTGACCGTCGAGCTCCTCCGTGTGGTTTTGGCGTTTCTTTACAATCCCACAGCTCTTCTGAAGGTGGGTGAGAAGCTCACTCAAAACCAGATTCGGCATGCTAGCCTTCCAACCACGGAAACGGAGCAGCTGCGCAGTGTGGAAAACATTGCTTTATGGGTGGGTAAGCAGATCCAGCAAATCGACGAAGGTCACCGCGTCGAGAGTGCACTGCAACACATGTCACCAAGCATGGCTGGGATGCTGTTCAAGCTATGCAAGGTGTATGGCCTGGCTTTCCTCCGGAAATCTGCCATCTTCTTTCACGTCGCGCATGGTGTCGACTTCCCAACCACAGCAGGCTCAGAAGCGGGGTTGTCGGAGCTCGAGCGTCTATGCCATCTCTTACATTTGCCAAATGTTGGTGACATTCTCACATCATTTAGCGAGTATTCAGCTTGCGCCGCTCTGAAAAATCGGGCAGCCATTTGGCTATTAGATTGCATACGCTTCGAACTGAACACCAAGGCGATGCCTCAGCTCGTTGGGCACCCACTGGGTATCCAACTGCTGCACCCGGCGCCGTTTGAATTGATCGGGCTTCCGAAGTATTTTGATGTGCTGATGGAAGAAGCGCACAAACGAAAATGTCCTACCACGGGTAAAGAGGTGTCGGATCCTGCTCTCTGCCTCTTTTGCGGGGAGATATTCTGTTCCCAGACTGTCTGCTGCCAGACAAATGACAAGCGCGGCGGCTGTAATGCTCATGTGGAAAAATGTTCGAGCCCGATCGGTATGTTCCTCTTTATACGGAAATGTCACGTAGCACTACTGCATGTTACAAAAGATTCCAAGGCTACTATTGCCGATGCTATCCGGCGAGGTCATGGGTTGTCACCAAGTTCTACTATGAGCCACGGATCCTTTTTCCCAGCACCATACTTGACTAAACATGGGGAGACGGATTCGGGGCTGAGGTCGAAACACCAGTTGATTCTGAACCAGAAGCGATATGACAAGCTGCTAAGAGATACGTGGTTGATGATCAATGGCAGCGTCTGGAGCACAATTGCTCGGAAACTGGAGAGCGAGGTCAATGCTGGCGGATGGGAAACGCTGTGAACACACAAACTGGGCGGACCATGATAGGAGTATACCCGTTTGGGTCGTTGTGAGTCGGAGTAATAGGTGTCACGAGACCATGATGAGAAAGCAAGGAGGCTCCGATGCGTTACCGAGTACGAGGTACATAGGTGATTATCATTCAGAGTCCGAAGGCCCTTGTTGTGATATCCACGGTAATATGATGAAACAAGTGATATACGGAGTGCTCGGTCCATAATCACGTGCCACTGGCATAGCAACACGCAAATGGAGGCGAGGCTGCCAAGCCTTGTGATGGTTTCAAGTGGGCGCTTAATAGAACTTCACTAACCCAAATGGGGCCAGCATGATTGGTCTATAATTCTTCTTCTCACGTTTCATCACTCGCATCCCATCTCCAATCGCCCTCATCACACTTGTTGTCCGGGTTGTCTTCGTCGTGTCGACCCAAGGACCGACCTCAGAGGCCCCTGGTCAGAGGCAGTGCATTTGCCCAGCACGCCGTTCGAGATGGCGCCGTCCAAGGGTCGGCAGCTATGCAGACGCCCATCCTGTTCAACATAAGCTGGGTCGATACCGCAGGAGAAGACAAGACAACCTCTACTCCGTCCGTATTTCTGTTTTCTCGCATCTTCTTCTGCTGCTCGGAACTGTCCTCCATAATCTTCAAACAAGTCGCTTTCCCTCTCCCCGAGGCAATCAAGAAACGCAGGACGAAATTCTCCTTCAAGGAGCCATAGTGACCATGACTTCACCACTCGCACGACCATCCCGGCACGTCCTCGCACTTCTTCTATGCCTCGACTTTCTCGAATACTCGCGGGCCCTTGCACAGTCCGGTGATGGCGGTGGAGCTCAGGGCGTGGAACCTGGCGACATCGGCTCCAGTCCTGGAAGTTCCACAGAAGACGCCGGAGCTGCAGGTCCGGATACTGGTTCGGTAAACCTGAGCCGGGGGGCTACGATTGCAATTGCCCTGGTTGTTAGTATCATAGTCGTCCTTGGTGGTGAGATTCCCCCCAATGACCTAGAATCATCATATGCCTTTGAGTACTGGTCGAATGTCCTAACATGGTGGATTTTCACGTTTCGCAGGCACGATGACCATTTTGTTCTACTTGGCAAAGAAGAGACAATGGAAGATCAAGGAAAGCATTCGGCGGTCAGCAAGAAGATTCACGAGCGCGGTCAAGGCCGTTACGACACCAATTACGCCCAAGAAAATGACTTTCTCTCCGGTTGAGAAGAGACGACTGGCCGAGGACACATTGAAGAAAGCGAACGATCAATTATCAAGATCCAAATCGGATGCGACCAATGAAAAGAAGCCAGGGAGCGGAAGCCGATCGTCGTCGACAGGCAGCAGTCGTGATCTCGAAAAGGGACTGACGGATTCTGCTGTCAAGGTCGAAACAAGAAGGGAGAACGACGCAGCAGGAGGCACGGCTGCAAAGAAGGACAAGGAACGGCCAAGGCTTCCCAGTGTCACCATTCCGTCTTCGGCCTTTGAGATGGACAGCCCGAAGACACCCTTGTGGAAGAGAGTATTTGGACGATAGAGAGGTGGTCCGGAACGACCTGAAGCGAAACTCTGAGGTTTGGCTGTACGAATTAACGAACTCCTCCGGGCGAGTACCAATATGGAGGGAATGTGGTTAGGGAACATATTGATATGTCGGATATGCCTCTTCTTGAAATGATACCATGGCAATGAGCAGAACAGGCAGACAGACTTGAATCTCTCTGTTTGCATCTTTCCCAATGGATTCTCTCCGCTGGACTCCTCTCTTCAGGAGACAGCGAGCGTTTTCATCAACTACCTGGATTGATATGCAGTTCCGAGATTGGCATTCTGCAACAGTGATAAACGGTCTGATCTTCCGGCATCAGAAGGTGTCCCTTTCGCGATTCATTGCCTTCAGCGGAAGAGTGCGTCGCCTCAGCCCTTTGATCGATGGCCCTTTACACTCCTCTGCAACTATGAGATTTGGTCAGCAGTCCGAGATGAGAAGACTCGTTGCTGATGGACGTCTGTGGAAGCATTATATGACTCGTGCCTCGGGAGTTTGCCACGTTGGCGCAGTTGGCAGTAACCTCAGTCTTGGCTTCGTTGACTGCCATTGCCACTGCACCTCCTTCAGTCTCCTCCCTCGTCACCTCACTCTCATGTTCTCAAACCTTGTCAGCACTCATCCAATGCTGTGCAATGGCTTCGGAATCCCATGCGCCAGAAAGCTCTGATGTTAAGGCCCTGTGTGGCCAGCTACAAGAGGACTCTCACCGGGACCACACCCATGGCATTGAAGGTAAGGCCATGCTGCCACAACACACTTCTTCTAGCACCCACACTGACGTCGACGATCTAGAGGATCGGACCACATCCGCCGAAGCAACTCCTGAAGCACTGTTCAAAGACGGCCATGATCCTGGGCACGACCACATCAGCCGCCTTCCTGCTCTACTTGGAAGAGAAGGTTCGGGAGTTGTATCGAGTGATGAAGTTCAATTCGAGTTTGCACCTATCCAACCGAGTCACCTCAACCACCAGCATATGGAGCCTTCCAGTTTTGTTGATAGGAGAGTTTTCAATTGCTCGGACTCGATGCCTTCACCGAAGATCGACACCCTAACAAGAGCGAGTTCCATTGCTCATATGGCGGATAGTGTGGGTGTAGGTCCAATGCATGAATCGAGGGTTTCAAAGACTCCAAGGAAGCACCGTCCAAAACCGACCCAACATCGTCAGATGCATCGACCCCGTACTACCGGAACTCTCCCGCAGCCTTCAGAAGAAGATCTGCTTTTTCTTCTCATGTCCCGAGCACGAGAAACACAAAAATCCCTAGAGAGGCTGGTCTTCCTTGAACACGAAAATCAGAGTCTCCGACGACTCCAGGGACAGACAGATGCAGAGCTTCGACAGATGGCTAACGCACGAGATGAATGTGCTCAATACTCTGAGCTTCTCAGAGATAGCTTGGACGTGTTCAGGGAGAAGTACTACAAGTTGAAGAAATGGGCTATGGAGACAAACAAAGACTGCGAGATGCTGCAGCAAAAGGCCGCAGAGTTCCAACAAACTCTCACAGCCTTGGCCAAAGACAGAGATCAATTGTTTATGCAGCTGCAGGAAGTGCGGTGTTCCTCACGCGTGACCTCAGAGCGAACGGAAAGGGTCCGCGAAGGAGTTCGTGAGGCCAAATCAATGGCGCAAAATAGTGTTACAACTATCAAGCAGTTAGATGCTTTCGCCATAGCTCAAGACGAGCATTTGAGGAGCGAGAAGCAGAGATGTCGAAAGTTGGAGGCTCATATACTCCATTTGGAGCAGGAGAAAAACAAGCAGAATGTCAAACTTCACCACCAACACCAAATCACCAATAAAGCACTGCAGGATCTCTCCAAACAGCTCGGCACACTTCAAAATGAGAAGTCAGAAGCGAATACAGCGGCCGAACACATCAACGAGTGCTTGCATCGAATTATGTCCATGATTGAGGACGATCTTGAGGACCTGATTCGGTCGAAAGAAGATTACACATCAGTGAACGCGTCGCTCACCAAGCTTGAGGGTTCGCTTTCCGAGAAAGTTCAGACAGCGATAGCAAGCCTCAAGCATGACTTGCAACATGACGTCTCTACTCAGGCTTCGAGGTTACTATCAGAAGTACAGTCCGGTAATATTGAACTTGTGGAAGCAAAGGCAGAAGTGGCTCGACTAGAAGGAAAGACAGAGCAGACGCAAGAGATCATAGAACTGCTTCGCGATGCAAAATGCGAGGCACAGAGACATGAGACAGAATTGCGAGACGTCAACAAGAGTCTCAGAAATAACAAAGAAGCAGCCCAGATACAAAGTGAGGAGCTCCGGACTTCATTGCGTACGGTCACGACAAAGTGGCAAATAGCATGCTCTGAGCTTGAAAAGTGCAGACAAGACAAGATCGAGAGGCAAGCAGAAGTCACTGATTTGACCATCCGTCTAACCGAAGCCATGCAAGAGCACAGCTCTCTCCAAGCCGAGTTGACGACCATCGAAGACATTTTGAGCGAGTCCGAACGGCAAAATGAACAGCAAAATACAGAGGTAGGGCAGCCAGATCCGTCTGACCAGACGTTGCTAATCTGAGACAGTTGAATCACATGAGTGCTCGACTTTCAAATCTCCAGACTGACCTAGACCATGAGATACAGAGAGCACTGGCGATCGAAGACGAAGTGGCGAGTATCAAAGCCCAGGAGTCACAAACACGACATGATCTTGACAAGTCTCGGGCAGAAACGGCTACGGCTATCGAACATCACCAAGAGTTGCAAGAGCAGATAGGTATGCTTGAGCAAAAGTTGAGTCAGGCAGATGACGATTCTCGAAAACTTGAGGAGACTCTTAATTCTCTGCGAGAAGCTACGGCTGAGCTGGAGGATCTGAGACAGCTGCGTTGCTCTCTCCAAGCGCTTAAACAAGAGTCTGTATCTCAGCTCCAGCAAATTGCGGAAGATTCAACGGAGATCCAAACCCTCCAAAGGCAGATCGAGAACCTGCGAAACAGGTCTGCTCATCTCGACGAACAAGCCCGAGAAAGGGACAGACTCGCAGAGGAGAACACCATCATCCATACTGAGCTCAAGGACTTGCGGGGACGGCTCTCTGAGCAGGAGGATTTGCAGGAAAAGCTCCAGCAGAAGATCACCGAGAATGCCGTCCTGGAATCGACTCTTACTGCTGCTCAGGGTCAGACAGCTCGCATCAGCGGATTAGAAACAACGAACACCTCCCTCGAGGAAGCCGTCACGTCTCTTACAGAGAACCTCAAACAGTTGAATGAGCAATGCGCTCAGATTGCACCCTTGCAGGAGACGGCCAAGGAGAAGGACAATCAAATCACGGAACTGCAGAAGCAATTGTCGTCACTTGGCGGTCAGACTGACGAACTCAAAAATCTCAGAGGCGAATTGCGACAGAAAGAAGAGCAATTGACACTCATGCAACAGCGAATCCTAAGTCTTGAAGGTGCCGTCTCCAATGCCAAACTCGATGATTACGAGGCAACTCGACCCCAACAGCAACCAAGAGGCGCGGATCGCTCAGGAAACGCAAAGAGCTTCCATTACAATGAATTGCATCACTCCCGGCCGAGTTCCAGTGGCGGCGATGCTCAACTTCTCAATGATGGCAGTCCTTTGCATTCCAGTTCGTCAAATGCCTTGACTGGTGTTATGAGCGTTGTGCCAGAAACACAAATCGAAGTCCAAGAGACTCTACCCGTGGAGCGTGAAAGCCTCTTGTTATCCCCAGAGCAAGGGCAAGTGGACTATAGTTCAGCACTCGCCCCAGTCTCTACCCCTGATGGGGAGGCAAATCTCGAAAATGTGATTCATCAAGACCTTGGCCATAGCACTAGGCGCTATGACCGCAACCGGGTACATGTCTGGCCGAGTAAAGGGACTGCTAGCAATAGCCGCGCTGGGGAATCAGGTGAACAGGCCCTACCTAGCTCGAATGAGTCGCAAAGCGATCAAATGCTTCTAGATCAGGTCAGTCAAGGCGATTTGAAGGTTCCGAATAATTTCGACACCACTGATATCGGTCTCAACTTTACCATTTCTAGTAGTGGGATCACCTCGAAGCAAGGGCCCAGTCCAAGAAGATTAAGAAGTGAACTTCGGGTACGGAACTATCACACTGCTTCTCCCGACTCAAGTGGCGAGTCTCAAGGCCATCGTCCATCCACACCTGCTATCATGCGTGAGCGGTATCAGCCCAATTCAGCTGCCAAACGTCGAATGGACCCGGACAACGTTGAGGACAAGGCTTCTCCAGAGAATTCTAAACGTCTCAAGCGGAGGCCAGCGAACCTGGAAGCGAGGAAGCCACCACCAATCACGCCAAAACAGAGGGTGGAAAAGTCTTCATCTCGAGCCACGGTCGGCTTTCGTAAGGACAGTACCGCCGGCGGCACCAACAGCGTTGTAGGAACGAATGCCCCCGGCCCAGGAAAGAGTCAACGAACATCCAAACCTGCCCGTAGAGGCTCCCGCCAAGACAAGTACGCCACTCGGTTTGCTGCGGGGACTTGATAGAGAGCAAAGCAAGAGATACTCTCAGACAAGAACGGCATAACGAGAACGGAGAGTGGGCACGATACGAAGAAAAGGAAAATAGAGAAAGAGAGAGAGAAGGTGTGTTGTGAGAAGCTCCTGTGAATATTTTGCTTTTGGCTGTAGCGATATGTGTGTTGTATATGTTTTCTGCTCTTCCCATGGAGCATCGATTCATTGAGTTTGATGAAAGGACTTGTCGGTCAGTCAGTCAGTTAAGACGCCAGCTGCTGCTAAATGGTATGTATGGTGTATCTCACGGGATAGATCGTTGCGCAGATACAGGAATGAAAAAAGCGGCAACCAAGCAAACAAATATAACTTGGAAAAAGGAGAAATCCTTTAACGGGAATAGCATATCGTCTAAAGAGACTCCGAGTCGAAGTCAATGTTTCGAGTGAGGACGTATCAGGACAGGTAAAAAGACACCATCTTCATTTTCTTCTTGTGAGGCCAGAGATGGGCCTGAACGGCCTGAAGTGCCTCAAGTGTGTGAAGTGTGAGAGTGAAGTGGCGTCAAAGAACTGGCAGGAAGCTGTCATAGCTATGATCTTAGAGAATCTCTTATTGTACAGTACAGTGTGGAAAACGAACATGCGGTGCGCCTTCAACCTTCACCGTGGCCAGTGAATGGCCTCCCACTCTTGGAATTCCTAAATACCAATGGAACAACTACGTCTTATCAAATGGCACCGGATCAGACTAGACCGTGCCGTGCCGCTTATTCCAGAACAATTTCTTTCCTTGTCTTGTCTTGCTCTTAGTTGGCAGCCCTTGGTTGACGGCTTGGGTCGGGTGGGAAATTCAGTTCCGTATGCGTGTGCAGTCTCCTTCAAACGGAAAGAGCACATAGGTCTGGGCGGTGTCTATCCGGCTCACTTCCTTTCCAAGACGGCTGTTTCCCGTGTTTGCGTGTGTCGTATTTACATTGTGAGGCGCATGGAAGATTCTCACCAGCGGTGTCTTGTTTGCGACGACGAGCTGGGCTTGTTTTCTTGGCCTTGAGGGCTTGGCTGTGGAAGGTTTGGTCGCATGTCGATTGAGAGTGGAGAGGGATGGAGTACAAGGGGAGCGCTGCGCTTTTCTTTCTCGAAGCGGCGGTTTCGGACATGATAATCAGTCTTCCTCGAGCTGGCGCGGGCTGAATTGGGATCACTGCGGCGAGCGTTCAGAACGCGATATGTCGATTCGATCTCATCCCCTGGGTACGGCCCGGGTAGCTTTGTCGATTTTGTCGTTAAAGGCAAGTTTTCAGAAGGTGGGATGTTCGAATTGAGGCCGAGTCGTCAGAGGTACCCAGCACATTAACCGAGTGCTTCCCTTGTCAGAGTCTAGGCTGCCGATGTACTCTCACTCAAACGGCGCCCAGCGGCAGCTTTCTGGAGAGACCGATTCATCCTTTTCTCCAACCTCAGGATTTCGCGTGCCTCGTGCCCCCGTGCCTCTTCTCACTTGCTTGCTAGCTTCCATAGCTTTTTTACCTTCTCCTTATCCCAAGCTACTATGCAACCAAGCGAAGCGGGCGAAGTGAACCCCCTCAACTGTTTCCCTCTTGTAATTTCCTCTTTTCCTTTGGGGCCGTGGCGGCAATTTTATTTTCCTCGTTTCTGTTCCAAGAACAGCACCTGCCTCTTGACCACAGGGTCGTACTTCATCATGCTCAGGGGTCTCGACGTGCGAGGGCGTACCATCGTCCTGTAGTACCCCGTCATGGCCATGGAGATCAGGCGGACGGCGATAGTGCGGGATTTGGCTGTGGCATAGGATGTCAGTTAATGAATAGCTGTTGGGAGAGGGTGAAGAGGGACTCATTAGACTAAGACGTACGCTTTTTGGCCATTGCTCGCGGATGGGTCGAGTGGAGAGTGTGTGAGAAGAGTCTATGCTAGTCAAGCGAGGGCGATTTACAAGGGTTAACTTCTAGATGAGAGGGTAATGATATTGACAGAAAAGCAGGCCGCGAAACCCAATGGAGAGCTTTAGTCGGAATCTTCAGTCAGAATAGGACGCCAAGGCCGAACAAGTGGTCGTGTGATCCGCCGTACGGATCACCCAGCTTCATGTCTACGGTGGACTATTTGATTTTTGCCCCTTTCTTGCCTTTTTTTGCTCATTGAGCCTTACCTGGGCCAACACAATATTAAGAGCCACGAAGGAATTGTGTGTCACCGAGGTTGGTTTTCAGGAGGTCCCAGTGGCCAACCCGATGTATTGAGAGGCAGCTTTCAAGCCCAAGCATGCCGATACACTAAAAATAGGCCATTTAATTCGCGATGATTTCGCTGCTTCGTCAGCGACGGCTGCAATACTTCCCTCCGTTATCGATAAAATGACTACCAAGCGGGACCTGAGACAACGCCAGGCCCATCCTCTGAGTTCATCGAGAACGACTCAAAATCCCTCAGGTGAATTGATGCAGCAAAACCCCCGCTTTTAGGGTACCATGGGTCGTCATGTCGTATCGTTTTTGTTGTTTCCGGACTTGACTTTTTATAACCTGCGATATGCATGCTATGCGAAATAAAGAACGCTATGTACGGCGCATCGGAAAAGCTCTGTTGTCGGCATGACAGCTTTGTGGCAGTCGGATCAGTCGGCATAGAGAGCATCGGTCTCATCAATCACTGCAATAGTGGATCCTAAAAGCTAGTCAGCGTCTCTCCGATCAAAGACACAGTCTTCTTCAACCAACACTTACCCGGTAGTGTTTTTGACTGTTGGCCTGCTTCTCCAACTTGGCCTGATACCGATTCTGCGCCCGTCGCTCCTTTTGTCTGGCCCTAATCTCCTCGGAACGGGCATCTCGTCGCTGCTGGCTCGTGGCGCCAAGCATACCGGCCTCACCGCGTCTCATGAGACTATTTCGAGGAGGGGTTGCCGGAAGATCCACGTCGTCCATTTCCGCGTCTTCTGAGCTTCCCTCTTCAATCAATCTCTGGGCACGTTCCATTCGTTCGGCTGCCGTGGGGTAATTATGCAGATTCTGCCGGTAATATTTCCTCAAGCTTCGGTGACCAACCACCCTGCCACTGGGAAGATGCATTTCATGTTCGTCGTAGAAGACCGCGTTATTGTGGTGATGAGCGTGTGAGTGCCAGCCGTCTGCGTTGCGGTGGGGTCTGGGATCGGTGTTGGAGTGGTGTCTGTGCAGGGGAAGTCGTTGATAAGATAGGGTTCGATCGTCATTCGGGACGGAAGCAAGTTCGTTGGTGTCGAGCGAGGAGAAGGAGGAGTCGGTTTCCCAGCCATCGTCTGCACCGTCTTCTGCTGTGCCCTCCAATTTGACTCCACCATTCTGTTGTGCATTTGCTCCTTCCATCTCGCCACCGGACCCTTCCTCACCATAGTCGGAATATGTGCTGGAGAAGTCATAGAACTGTCCGACCTCGATCATCTCCTCCTCTGTCTCAAAGGCAATCTTACAATGCCCCTTATCTCTCATGTGAGTTTGCGCACCTTCCGCATTACCCCTGAGTTTGTGACAGTACAGACACTCAAAGTTTCGGTGGACTTTGGCCTGCATATATCGGATCAAACCTTCCAGGTCAACCAGATAACTCTGCTCGGGGATAAATAGGCTATGTATCCTAGTCATGTGCGTGACGCTGAGTTTCAAGTTGGGAGAGTCGTAATTGCAAAATAGACATCTGGAGAGGGGAATGGACGAGATTTCGGCCTTTTCTGGTGACATGGGATGATCTTCTCGAGGCTCTGCGTCTGGCGGAGGGTTTGAAGGTCTCCGTGTCATTCCAGGCATATCTCGGATGGACGTTTCTTTCATGCCTGCAACCACTTGCTCGAACTCTGCTTCCGCCACTGGATCTCGAGGTTCCGAGTCTGCTGTCGAGTCGACTGTGGATTCCGGCCGCCGCATGTCGGACGCAGTTACGGAATTTGCATCTCGTGCTGAACCCCTGTCTGACGCCACTTCTCTTGTCTTGTGTGCCTTGCTGGCAAGGTGATTCTGATATGCGTTTTCACTATAGTATGTCTTCTGGCAGGTGGTACACAGCTTGGCGTAGGCAGCTTGGGCGGCGGCGGCATTAGTGGTCGCCTGAGCAGCCAGAACTTTCTCGTTGTAGTCTTCAGAGGAGACTGCAGGTAACTCGGCCAACCTACGCTTCAGGTTGTATCTGTGCCAGTCACTCCGCATGTGAGTCCGTTGGGCATCACTGTTGCGAAAGGCCACCGCACACGAATTGCAGGTGTAGGGATGAGTCTGCGAGATATCGACACGAGCCTCGGTCGCCATGGTGGCACTGTAGGTAGGAGGTGCAAGAGGTGGTAGGAAGGCGACGAAATGAGAGCGGGCAGAGCGGGAGGCTTTGTGCGTCGGGGACCCTTGGAGTTGTCGAGGTTAGTGAGTGCGTGAGTGCGTGAGTGAGTGGGATGGTTGCAGCTTTAAGGATGCAGGGCAAGGCAGGGTGCACCAGCGAAATGCCTGGCTTTGGCTCGCTCGGCCAGTGGCGGGCGTGACCCGCGGCGACACAGACAACCAGGAACGAAGAAACGGGAAAAAAGTGGTTGTGGTGGAGTAATTTACTGTACACAACTTTGTGCGATGGTCATTTGGTGACGTACCTACGCCGTGGGCAGGGCAGGGAGGGGAAGGGAGGGCAGGGGAGCCAGCCTGGTGCCTTTCCACTCATTCTTACCCCCCTTTGGCCCACGGTTAGGCTTTTTGAGAGGGGGGAGATACGGATGGTCAGCTGGGCCTTCCACAACATCTTTTCTTCATTTCTCAGGAAGCGGAAATGAGCGGTTCTGGTATCAAATGCGGCTCATGGTCCAGATAACGGATGGAGAAAGCATCAATTTTCTCACCACGAGGTCCAGGGCGATAAGGCATTTGCCTAGACCAGCAATGCCTACTGTTTGCCCTACACTAATACCAGCATGTCAACGAAATGAGGTCCCGGGATGGTGCATTTTGCATCATTCGTCGTAACCAAGCCCGCCAGGGAGGACGGGCCAAAATCTATTATCCTTCTATCCGGGTATCTCAGCCATTTCTCATCATGTCCATAGCGCCACCAGCGTGATGTCCCTGGGCTGTCGCAGCCTCGTGCATGCGCCAGACCCCTGAAAGCCTTCTGGAAACCTTCCAGCGCCACCCTCCATTACAAACCCTAGTAAAGCTGACAAATGCCGGCCCCGTTGGTTAATGCCCCCTTCCAAGCTTTTCGTTCAAAACAAGCATAATGCCCCTAACATTACAACCCCTCCCAGTGGATGGAAAATCCGTTTCTGAGCCGCACCATTCACTGCAGGCGGCGTTCCCGATGCTGTGGCCGATGCCGAAAGCGTTGATGTTCTGCTCGACACTTGACTCGATGTCGCCAATGTTGTACTTTGTTGTGAGCTTACCGTGCTGGTTCTGCTCCGGTTTTCGCCTGTTGAGCTTCTTGAACTAGTCGTCGACAAACTTCTGTTGGAGACCGAAGTTAATCGACTTGTTAGAGAGGATGACGCTGCAGATGAAGCTGGGGTTGAGATCGATGCACTGCCTGAGATGCTTGTGGCATCTGTGCTGCTTGTGATTGGGGTCCCGACAACGGTACCAGAGTTTGACAGGGCGGACTGTGACTGGGAACTAAATAAGCTAGTGAAAGATGAGCTTGCGACGCCTGAGGGAGAATTAAATGTGGATACGGTTATTGATCCCGTTTCGGTGGAAATAACTGTCGTTGACGCCGTGGCGGAGACTGAGGTGGGCACAAAGCTCAATATCAATGTGGATGTCGAACTGAGGGTCGAGATAGGCACTGTGCTTGACAATGTACTCGCAGCTCCAGGAGCTTCCGATGCCGTAGCACTCGAGCTCTGGGGAGCGGAAGCTGCGGAGCTCGGGCTTTCGGATGGTCCTGGGGCCGAGGTCGAAGAAACAGCTGGTGCTGAGCTCGCTGATGGAGAACCTGCTACACTTGTGATTGGCGATCCTTGTGTAGTCGCAGGCTGATATGTGGAGAGAGGAATCGCAGCGGTGTTGGTGATGAGGAACCCCTGGCTATCGTAGCTCTTTGGTGCTGTCGGCGCCGCCGGATTGATGGTGACCAGTGTCGGAAATCCTTGCTCGTTGTACGACTTGACCACTTCAAGCGAAGCCGAGGCCGAACCCAAAGGCAAGGCTGCCGACGAGGACGAAGAGAAGGACAGGGATGTTGACTAAAGACTGGTTAGCCCATATACACCACATTTGGAGCTGGAGCGAGAGAAAAATTCACTGACTTGTCAGCCCAGAAATTGAAGAGCTTACCACAGACACTGCTGTGGCTGTGGCCGTTCCAGACCACGGCCAGCCTGTTCGCGTTGCATACACAGAAGAAGTGTCGCCGCTGTTCCCAAAGGCCAGCGGAGCACTGTTGGGCACGGAGGAGGTAACGGCGGGTGCTGTCCCGGACGAGGCAGGTGTTCCATCTCCTTCACTGTTGATTTGGCCGCCAGTGGAAACAATGGATTGCCATGTGCCGCTGGTTCCACTGTAGGTATACTGGGACCCGGTCGAGTAATCTGTGACGTGGACAGACTTCACATACATGGTGAAGGGCCCCTTCGAGTAATCAGTGACTCCTCCAGCCCACTGAATCGTGCCCTCGGGATTGGATGGATCACCACCAGCCCAGGCCCCCAGTTTGACGTACATGGGAGTTTGTGGGTACTGGCCGGCTTCAGCCTGTTCTTGAGTCATGGCTCGGACCGTAGCCCCGTCGATTGACCAAACAATCTGGTCAGCAGTCCAGTCGATGCTGTATGTATGGAACTCGTCATGGTTGTTGGGTGCCCCATGGTAGGCTCCTCTATTGTAACCAGTTGTGGTGATGCCTTTTCCAAAATAATTGCTCTGGGCCTGCGTATTATCCCCGCCTAACCATTCCCAGTCGATCTCGTCAAGGCAATCAGACTGCAAAATCGCGGCGCTGACTATTCCTGTTCCTGGTGCAGCTTTCACCACATAGTCGACATGCCCGAACATGATATACCAATTCGAGGAGAGGGTAGGGGCATCGCCATGCTGGGAGATGGTGAAGGCTGCACCGTCGGAAGTATAGCTGACAGCTCCTGACGCGGTGAACTCGCTTGAGGAGCCTGCCGTAAAATCAACGTCGACGCTCCTGCCCAGCGCGGGGTCTGCAGGACATCCACCTGAGCACAGTCAGTCATCGTACTGAAAAGCGGTGGAGGAAATGGACTCACTCTGCAGCAGAGGGTTACATGACGAATAGGTCTGTGCTTCCGTGCTTGGTATGAGAGAGCAAAGGATCAATGCAGCAAGCACTGAGCCTGCCAGTTTGGGATACATAGTGTACAGGGTTAACAATATCCAACGCCGGAACAATGCAGCAAGGGTCAAGCACAGAAAAAATGCGGGAGGAAACTAGCAAACTCTAGTCGATAGCATGACAAGTAACCCAAAGTTCATCAGCGGATATTTACTGAACAAACAACAAGGACAGATTGAGAGTGAATGCGGCAGGGAAGAGAAGAGAAAAAAGATTCCATGGCCATGGGCACAAAAGTACAAGTAGTCACTGACGGTTTTCGCGGCGAGGTGGCTGGTAGACAACACGACGTCAGCTTCTGCGACAACACCACAATCTCCTGACGCCAAAACCCGAGGAGTCGGGAAACATTTTCGACCAATTCAGTTTAGCCGTGAGCCAGCAGCATGTCCGGTCATTGGCCATTTCTACAGCAAACGAGTTCTATTCACGGAAAACAACGAGATGGACAACTGGATTGGAGAGATTGAAGGAGGCTGGAAGCCCAGCTCGAGGCAAGCGAGGCTGACGCAGAGCCTTAGCGTCGAAGATCGGACCGAAAGACCCTCCTCGCCTCCTTGAACCCTGGCGGCTGCCCAGAACGTCGGTGGCTGGGCCCCCACTAAACCTTCCTGGCTTGGCAATACGCAAACCACAGTGGCGCCAAGTACTGGGTAGCACCACCAAGGCTCCGCGATCCAATTGGCGGTTTCCTCCTCGTTTGCAACCTTCCCCACACACAGCCTTGTTGTCACTAACGTGTCCCTTGTTCACAGGCCCAGCCTTGCCCACCATGGACAATCAGAGGCCTCCAAGTTTGCCTCGATTGGATTGAGCTGATATGATAGGTGTGGGGTGTCGGGTAATCGGACCCCATCTCTTCCCTCGGGTGACCTATACGTGTTGATGCCACTATTAACCCGTCCAGACTCACTCCTCCAGACTTTTGATTCCTCTCTCATGCTGCGAAATGCTGCTATACTCTTTTGGATACTCTTCGATGATCCGTTTGAGTTCTTTCATTTGGGCTCGGGCCTCCGGCGTGATCTCCTCGTAAACATCTTCGAACATAGCTCGTATCGGTGGTTTCTTGACCTTTTCCGCGGCCGAAAACTCTCGCAGTACTTCTTTGCGTATCGACGCCCTCGCTTCCTTCTCTTTGTCTTCATCCCAGATGCCCTTCTTTTCCATCCACTTCCGTAGTCGAGTAATGGGGTTGTCTCTCCGTTTCCACTCCTCAACCTCTCGTTTGGCTCGATATGCAAAGCTGTCATCACTGGTGCTGTGGTGGCTGACGCGGTAACTCATAGCTTCCACGAGGATGGGCTTGCAGTCACCTTCAAGAGCTCGTTTCCGGGCTTCCAACATAACCTCCCTCACGGCAAAGATATCGTTGCCGTCTACCCGGATGGTATCAATGCCGTACCCCAGTCCTCGACTGGCAATGCCATCTCCCTTATACTGCTCGATACTGGCTGTCGAAATCGCGAAGCCATTGTTGCGACAGACAAATACCACAGGGCATGATTTGGTGGCGGCGATATTCAGTGCTGCATGGAAATCTCCTTCGCTCGCCGCACCCTCTCCAAAGTAACAGGCGACAATCCGAGGGGGAACATTTGGGTTGATGAGGCGCTGCATCTTCAGTGCATATGCAGCCCCAGACGCTTGCGGGATCTGGGTTGCTAGAGGACTCGAAACGGTATGCACGTTAAGCTTACCACTGCCGTAATGTACAGGCATGTTTCGTCCTTTACCGTGATCGTCCTTGTTCGAAAACAACTGGCTCATCATCTCCTTTAACGTGAAGCCACGTTGGACGAGCACCCCCTGTTCGCGATACTGCAGGAAACAGACATCGTCCGGCGTTAGTGCCGAGGCCGATCCTACGGCAATACCCTCCTCGCCCGCAGAGACCATATAAAAGCTGGTCCGTCCCTGCCGTTGCGCGTCGAACATAATCAAATCCATGATGCTGACAGTCAACATATTGCGGTACCACTGAATGATTTCTTCGTTAGAGGCTGAATGGGGGTTTCTGGTATTGTCGACAATGTTGCCATCAGCATCCATTATTCTGTAAGTGGGCATGGCGTTCTCCTCGGCTGGATTCTGAAACTTCATGGTCGAGGTAAATTTGCTATTCAGGGCTCCTGGAAAATGTACTCTAGCGGCGTAGGGTCAGTCAGGAAAAGCTTGGACAAGAAACGGCAACGTCGAAACGTACGAATCCGATCCTACTTTCTGTGCTGGTCCGGCAGACCAAGTATCGCTTGCCCATCGTAGCCCTGGTCGCCGGAGTAGTACACCGTGTTTGTATCTGCAGGATGCCACCAAGGGCCTCAAAACAGCTCGACTTTTCATCTTCACTCTTCCAAAGCAAACACCCGCCCTGAGCAAGTTTAAAAAAAAGGTCTGCTGTTGCGGGAGCAGATTGACAAGGGAGGAGAGAGTTGGAATGAGGATTGCTGAGATACAGTCAATGTTGAAGGGGACTTCGGTTATCCTCGGCCATGAACTCTCCTGAGATAAGACGCCAGAACCGGAGAAGTCGATGACGGATGTTCGGGCCTGGTGATTGGCTGTCTGGGAACCAATTGAACTAGACCTTTTTTGGAACCGCGACTACAGAAAATTGGCCTTGAGCTCCGAGCTCTTCTTGACTGAAGTTCTACGGCACCGGCTTGCATCTCACTCGAACCAATGCTTCGTACCTTTTATCGAAGGCCTCGCCGCCTACAAGACTGCCCTGTTGGTACGACACCGGCACGGCGACGGCTTACGACGAGCTCGCTAAGACCCCAACAACTCCCTGGTGAAAATGAACGAACAACTCACTTCGGCTTCGAGACCATTTCGGAGACGCAAAAGGAGGCCAGAGGTAGCATTCACAAGCTGACCATGATATTCAGATTGCTTATGCCTTTCTAGTGGGTGCTGTCTTCTCCTCGGTCGCATCCTCTTATGATACCATGAACGATCTGATGTCCCTGGGAATCCATCGCCTGTGGAAGGATTACTTTGTCCGCAGTCTCAACCCGGGCAGACGAACCAGCGAAAAAGGGTGGAATATCCTTGATGTGGCGGGCGGCACCGGCGACATTGCATTCCGCATGCTTGACCACGCGACCAATGTGAACCTTGATCTCAAAACCAAAGTGACCATTGCGGACATCAATGCAGACATGCTAGCTGAGGGCCAGAAAAGAGCTCAGGAAACACCGTATTGGAATTCAGGCAGACTGTCATTTATGGAGGGAAATGCTGAATCCATGCCTTCTGTAAAGTCCGAATCGATTGATCTTTACACGGTCGCATTTGGAATCCGCAATTTCACAAACAAGGAAGCCGCCATTCGCGAAGCATTTCGAGTCCTTAAACCAGGCGGGGTTTTTGCGTGTCTAGAGTTCAGCCACGTCAACAACTCACTGTTCAATGCTGTCTACAAGAGGTGGAGCTTTGGTGCAATTCCTTTGATAGGCCAATTGGTCGCCGGTGATCGGGACAGCTATCAATATCTTGTCGAAAGCATCGAACGGTTTCCCACGCAAGAGGAGTTCAAGGCAATGATCGAAGAAGCCGGATTCGTCACACCAGGACAAGGCTACGAAGATCTGACGGGAGGCATCGCTACCATCCATCGAGGTGTGAAGCCTTTATAGGCTGTTTTCAGTTGTCTAGATCAGTCATCGACTGTCCTACCATTTTCCGCTTGAACAGTCCAAGCCCAGGTACCGGAGAAGGAGCGTGTGCCCTCCTGCTACTCTGCTGTCAGCATGCACACCGCACACTGCAGCACTGTCGGCCCCTGCATGAAATGAATATCTCGGGGGCTCCGATCCCCTACGCACATATGATCATTGCAGGTGTCAGGTCCGCATACCATAGGAACACATTGTCGATCTGGCGCGTTGAAGTGTATCAAGGTACAATTCTTATCGCGACAACTCTGCCTGTGGATCGGCCTTTGCGGTCTTGACTGTGTCCATGTAGCCGGACGACAAGACGATTGCCAATGTCCGGAAATTGCGCCATATAGGCATTCGCAGCCGGTTGAGCAAGAATATTTCTCAGCCGCCTGTATTGCAGCCAGTTTATCGCCTCTCAAGGGGGAAAGGAATGTACCAACACCATGTACTCATATACACTCGCACTTCTCCCAAGAGGACCATTCCAGATGCTCTCTTCCTCTACCAATCGATTCATAAAGACAATGTCCTTCTGGAGACATGGCTAGCACTAATGCAAGCCACATCTTCCCTTTTCGGCCGTCATTACTTGCTATCATACCTACTAAGGCCTATCAATAGCCCTACAAGTACTCACTTCCAACTAACCTGGTGAGCCTCGGTTGGGGCGGCTCTCACCCCACAACTCCGCCTCTTCCCTTGATCTGCTGCAAAGTAGTACGCGGTCCTTTACTGTGTGCAGGGAAACCTGCCGGGTAACGTCACACTACCATCTGGCCCTAAGCTACGCTTGTGAAGAGGGCTATGCCGAATCTGTGTGATTTGACGTGAGACTGTGACCTATTCTTGGATTTTGCCTGTCTACAGCAAATCTACTGGGAGGTAATCTCGAGGACGTACTGCTCCGACCGTCGTCGCCTTTTGCTTTTTTTTTTGTTTCTTTAAAGGAAGTCTCGTGGGTGGAAAAGCACTGAGCTCGAGGATAGAATCGATCGCGAACACTACACCCAAGCACTGCCACTGCCCAAGCTTCTGAACTGGGGAAATTGGGTTCAACCGGCCCGGAAATCGCGAAGTGACAACATCACCACCACCCACCGCCGCATTCCTCTGTCTTAATGGGAGATAGTTGTTCCAATATCTCAAGAACAACGTAATCTCCTTCGACACAGGCAAAAACAGGCAACTTGTTACATTACAGCTGTCTGAACTCGACAACAACAAGAATCTCTCAAAACATGGGTTGTGGATCGTCAAGTCTGAAGGGAGCAGACATACCCGACCTCAACAGCCAGCCGACGACAGCGACGGGGGCGCAACCAATCAGGAAAATCAGGACCAACTTCTCAGAAGTTGACTATGATCAAAACGCTCGGGAGCGACGTCTGACAGAATATGCGCCGCACGAGCAACCCCCACCAGTGAGGGAGGAGAGTCATGAATTTACGGCAGAGCAAAGTGGTTACGAGCAGTGGCAACAATACGACACTCAAACCGGTCGCCAGAGTTATGACGCTGGCCCGCCAATGGGATATGTGCTGCCCCAAGGGAGCATGTCAGGCCCAGACGCCACGGATAGGGATCGCGGCGCGAGCTTGAAACCATATCAGACCTTTGACGGAGGTGACTGGGACAACCAAGACGCCTCGGCTCAGAGGCAAGGGTCCTATGTCAACGGCACACAGGAGACCCGTGGGGACCCGACATCAAATGTGTCCAAGAACGAGTTCGCCGCCGCAAACGACCCGGCGAACCCAAGCAACCAGGAAGGGCACCACTCTCAACCCAACGACCACCACCGTGACCACCGTGACCAGCGGCAAGGCTCCAGGAGCAACAACAACAACGACAACGACAACGACGAACTCAACAACGTGTCTCCGGTCTCGTATAATACCGGCACAGACCCGGGCGCGAACCCGGACATCCACGGCGACGACAACGAGCCCAAGAAGTCGTGGTTCGGCCAGAAATACGCGTCCTTCCAGTCCGCTAAGCGCGGCTCGGGCCTCAGCGACGAGGACATCCTCAAGTACACGGGCAAGGACAGGAAGGAGCTCAACGAGTGGGCGCAGAACAGGCCTGGCGTCGGTCCAAACCAGGAGGCTAGCCGAGTCGGGTCGGATTCGGGACTGGCGGCCGGTGCACCTTGGAGCTAGGAGGGCACAAGGGGGAAAGGCGATTGGGATTGGGATGGGACGGGATGCAATGGAGAGTCCATGGTGGTGGTGGTTTTGCTGGGTAGGTGGAGCGTGCTTGATACTGTACGTGCCTGGGTCGATGCAACCGCAACCACGTCCGCTCTCTCCGGCCGGAAGAACGGAAGTACCACACGTAGGGCACGCATGGGGGAGGGGGACGCAGGGTACGGGTATATTGCATCGCTCTCCGATAGTATCTATTGTATCTTGGGAGATGGTACGAAAAGGTTCATTCAATGTACATGTTCCACCTTTCAAAGAACAAATTGTGTTCTGGAGTCTGTGATGGTAAAACCGGTGTATGAGCCACTTTGCGAGAAAAATGGCCCAGGATTCATGGGGCGTAGTGCTAGCGGTGCAAAATGTCATGATATAACGAGTATATAGCTTTCTTCCCTCTATCCTGGCCTCTCAGCCTAGACTTCTTCTATCACGGCATCTTGTCCTCTACCAAGAAGGACCACACTCTGAGCTTCAGTGGCCCAGATGGCTTCATATCGACGTCCCTCGGTCTCTGTGCACATCGTCTCTCTAGAGTAATCATCTTCACGGCGTAAATCATTTGACCACTCCGTCAACGCCAGCGCCAACTTTCGGGTTTTTCCAAGCGCACCATCCATACGTACTCGCTCTGCCAACTCCGCATGCTCTAAACGTCTCGTCATTGATGAGTGCAATTCTGAGGCAGGCATAAGCCTCTCTTTGATCACACAAGTAGAGCTCCTGGCATTTTGCCGGAACACGGTCTCATCACCGACCCGCGAGCAACAGTTAGGGTTCATCGTCATGGCAAATGTCTAGCTCCCTTTTCTGGCAGCACTTTCCCTTCGCACACGGGAGAAACTGCTCTCTTCTTCTTGGCCCGCCTCTCCTCGAGGACATGCTAGCTTGGCCGGATATTCACATGAAAAAAGTTCGTAAATCGTCATATAACATTTAACTGGCTGCTGGGATTTCCTTGGACTTCCCTTTGTCACCATCCGCGTGTTGGATAGAAGTGGTGCTCGAAGAACGAGCATCATCTCTGTACAGATGGTTTTGCTCAATATATTCGACAACGGGTGCTGGGATAAGGTATTGTACGCTCATGCCTCTCCTTAGGAATAGTCTTATCTTTGTGCTGCTGACGTCATTCTGGATGAGTTGCTGGATAACATGGATATTGTCGCGATAGTTTTGCAAGCTTGCCAGGGCTTCGTCAATATCGGTGCCAGACCTCTCGATGATAAAAGTGCCATATCTTCCGAGGATGTGGTCCAGATCTTTCTCGCTCCAGACACCGGGGGTAGACATGGTCTGGATTAGGTCGGCCCCGGCGAGCAAAGAAATCTTAACAGGTTTCCGGGCACCGTTTCCAGTGTCAATGCCCTTTCGGACAACGTTGATCTCATGATCGAAATGGTCCAGCACCTTGGCGGTGGGTTGGTAATCCTTCTTTTCCGCTTCCCATGGGTCAACCATGAGCCAATTGGAGGCTTTATCAATAGCAAGTTGACACATGGCAACTCTGTGAGGAAGGGTCAGCAATTGAGAGGTTTCAGGCTAGAGCCTGGCTGCATACCTGTGTTCTGCTGGGGCTAAGCCTTGCTTCTTGTATGCATCGGACACAGGAGATAGATATCCGCCTATCATCTCGTAATCTGTGTTGTGCTTGACGTAGTCGGCAGCCATGACGAACATGCGCAGATGTAGAAAGGTAATAGGGGAGAAGGAGCCGCAGGCAACAAGCAGAAGAGGTGTCTTTTCCGGGTCGTCCATCTTCTTCTTGATGCGGGAGTCAGGAAAGCGGTATTCGTCCATCTCGTCGCCGTCACCGGTAATCGCTTGGAGAACGGTTGATCTTGTCTGTACCAATGTCTTGCCGGTCTTTTTGAAGGTTCGAACGGGGCGTGAGGGAGACAGGAAGACGGCCGAGGGACAGATTGATTTGTCAGAGGACAGGCTATTATCTATGGAGGTGGGTGAGTCGGATGGCGGGGCTTTCGTGCCTCGTCGAAGATTGGGAAAGGAAGCAAAAGACCTGAGGAAGAGCCTGCTCGTGATTGAGTAGGACAGAAGGAAGAGACTGTGAGGAAGACTCAGCATCTCAGGGCATCATGGCCCGAGTAGAGAGTTTTGTTCCGGGGGGGGGGGGGGGGCGTGGGCAGGTATGTCCGGCTTCGGCAATATGGAGTTGGAGGAGGAAAATTGAGAGGCACGAGCTGGAGTTTTTCCCAGTAGGCAGACAACGGGGGTCTGGGTCGATCTCCGACCGGCCTGAGCACCTTGTCGCAGCCTAGTGACCGGGACAAGGTTGAGTAATTGCTCAATGTAAGTAGATGGAGAGTTTGCTAGTGTGCTCCCGGCTTGGAGGAGGGATCGGCTTATCCTTGCTGTGAGAAAGTGGGGTGGCTGTGAGGATGGGGACGAGGAAGAATGGAAAAAAGAGAGATAAATCCAGACCGTGGTGGAGGGCGCCGTCAGTTGATATATGTAAGTCTCTATATATTTCACTGCAACGGCGAGGAGAAGATGGGCGTGCAAGGGGCCGCTCCCGACATGTTGACTTGTTTTCTACTCGCACATGATGGCGTGTAGGATGATAATTATGATTACTAGGCGGCATGCAACATCTATTTGCCATAACAACGGGGAAGTTGGTGGATGAGATATTGATGACGACGAAAACGAAGATTGAAAATGGCCTGCGCCACACCCTCGGCTGCTATTGTGAAGGTAGGACAAAGTGCAAGGTGTTTTTGTCATTCAGCATCCTCATTCGCCTCGCATCAA